GAGCGTTGCCGCGCGTACTTGTGGGCTTGGGTGTGGCGGATGCGGCGGGCAAGCAAAGGCCCGCTTCAAGAATTTGGGAAAACTGCGCGTGCTGCCAGAGACGGCCCGCCGTAAGCAATCGCATCAAGAGTGCAGCCCGCCCGCGTGCAGAGGCGCGGGCTGCGGCCGTCCGTGTGCAGTGTGGGCGGCTTTTTGATTGCCCGGTTCAAGAAAAACAACATCAAAACCGCCCAGGCCTGCATCGGGCCTGCTTCGGGGGGAGGAGGAGGGGGAGGGGGAGGGAGGGGGGGGATGGGGGAGGGCCACTCTGGCCCTGCTGGCCCCCCCGCCGCTCCTGTCCGCCGCGAGCCGCAGGTGTAGGCGGACAGGGGCGATGTCTTGACGCCGTGGAATCTCACGAGATCAAGCAGAGCCGACGCAAGTCGAGACCGTGGCTCATCCGAGCCGCGGTTTGCCGTTTGTCCTATGCGGCCAGGAAGGGCGAACAGACCGATCTGAAAGACTGGCGGACAATAGCCGCCAACATCGGCAGGTCTGACACCGTTCCTTACGGGAGAGATAAGCGTGGGAAGCAGGCGACTACAAAATATGTCGTTGTCCAGGTGCCGTCCTCCCAAGACAACAGCTACAGTGCAGACGTGATCAGCTATAGCTCAGGACAGCAGGGGGCCTCTTTTTGGCAATGGCAGCTCCCCAATATTCTCGCATGTGCCTCTTGGCGCGAGGGCGAAGGCGCAGGCCAGAACGTGAGCGCGCGAGAAGCGCGTGCTGAACCAGGGCGTGCGCGAAGTGAGAAACACCAACAGCCCGTCGTCACTGGGCTGAGCCTGGTCGCGCCAACGTGCGAGAAGAGCGAGGCGACACAAGAGCCAGACGCTGCTACGTCGTCAGCTACATGCTGGGCCATCGCGCACGAGAAGTGGCAGCAAGGGCAAAGCAGGGGCGAGACGAGCATGGCGACAACGGCCACCACGACTACAGCGCCTACAACGGCTACGACGGCTACAACGTCTACAACGGCTACAACGGCTACCAGCGCGGCTACACCGACGACCAGCACGGCCACAACGACGAGGCAGTGGCAGCGGGCAGTAGAGTGTGTCTGCGAGAACAGACGGTGGCGGGCAGTGGTGCGAGCAGTGGTGCTGGCCTGCGAGAACAGGCGGTGGCGGGCGAGGCAGAGGCAGCGGGCAGTGGCGCAAGTCTGCGAGAACAGGCGGTGGCACGCAGTGGTGCGAGCACTGGTGCTAGCCCGCGAGAACAAGCGGTAGAGGACAGTGGCGCGAGCAGTGGCAGCGCTGCGACCCTCGACAACCCACCCTCGACGACCCTCGACGACGCCCTTCGACGACGACCTTCGACGACGCCCCTCGACGTCCACTCTCGACGACGCCCCTTGCCCACCCTCGACGCCCCTCGACGACGCCCTTCGACGACGCCCCTCGCCGACGCCCCCTCTGCCCTCTGAGGCGAAGCTGGAGCCCGACGCCATCAACTGCAGCGCCGCGATCAGGGCACGCGAGCAGGCCCGAGGCGGCACCCGCCTCAACCTGGGAGCCGCCGGTTACAACGGTTACATCGCCTACAACGGCTACCAGTGCGGCTACAACGACGACCAGCACGGCTACAACGGCAAAGCAGTGGCAGCGGGCATTGGAGCGTGTCTGCGAGAACAGACGGTGGCGGGCAGTGGTGCGAGCAGTGGTGCTGGCCTGCGAGAACAGGCGGTGGCAGGCAGCTGATAGCCTGCGAGAACAGGCGGTGGCGGGCAGTGGCGCGAGCAGTGGCAGCGCTGCGACCCTCGACGACCCCCCTTCGACGACCCTCGACGACGCCCTCCGACGACGACGCCCCTCGACTGCGCCCCTCGTCGACGCCCCCTCTGAGGCGAAGACGGAGCCCGACGCCATCAGCTGCAGCGCCGTGATCAGGGCATGCGAGCGGACAAATGCGAAGATCGAGCCCTCTATCGGCGCAGGCATCACACGCCAGAACACGAGCGCGCGCGAAGTGCCCGACGAACCTGAGCGCGTGCAAAGCGAGAAACATTCGGGGGCACGAGTGCGAGAAGAGACGGCAGCGGCTGCTGACCCACTGCTGGGCACCCAGACGTCATCAGCTACACGTGCGCGAGAAGAGCCTGCAGCTGCAGCGGGCGACTGGAGGGCTGCCGCCTTGGCCGCGACCGAGGCTGCGGCCGCAAGGGGGGCCTCTCCCCAACTGCTGGCCGCGATGACCTATAGGCTCCGTATGCATGCGCACGAGCAACGCATTCCCATCCCCTTCGAGTGCGCCAATGCCGCCAGTATCTTCGACCAGCAGAGGCAACGCATACAGTTCAGAGGGCGGGCGACTGGAGTGTGGGCTTCCCCTAGCTCGTCCGCGACCCTTCACGCGATCCTCCTTTGCGCGTCAGACAAGATCAGCACCTCCAATTTCGAAGAGGCCGTGCGCATGACGGTATACCTCCTCGAATACGCCCGCGACGCCGACAGCGAGGATGGCGACGACGAGGGCGACGAGTCCGAGAGCGGCGTGGAGGAGCTTTCCCACGAGAGCAGTGGCGAGAGGCGGGAAACGGCGGCAGCCGCGGCGGGAGGCGGCGCGACGCTCCAGACGAGACGCACGGTCTCGTTCGCGCCGACCGCAAAGCTCGAGGTGGAGAGGACGAGTTCGACGAGGTCGGCAACCACTTGAACGACGTCCTCTGAGCGGGGGGGGGGGGAAAGGTGGTCCCCCTTCGCCCAACGGCTACGCCTGCTCCGCGGGCACAGAGTCGACAGGACCACAGGAGGAGGGGGAGGAGGAGGAGGAGGAGGAGGAGAAGGAGGAGGAGGATGAGGAGGAGGGTGAGGAGGAGGAGGAGGAGGAGGAGGAGGAGGAGGAGGAGGAGGAGGAGGAGGAGGATGGAGGAGGAGGAGGAGGAGGAGCAGGGAGAGGAGGAGGAGGAGGAGAAGGAGGAGGAGTAGGAGGAGGAGGAGTCAAACCATCGAGGATCGAGGATCGACGTTCGAGGTCTCCGTTTGTTGGTTCCCAAGTGACGAGGACAACGGCCCAGACCCCCTCGCGCAGTGAAAACCAATCATCAAGACGGCCAATTTTTGGAATGTTTGGCTGCCGGGGGCCTGTCGGGCGTTGCGGCCGTCAGAAGATTACCGGGATGCAAAACCGGTCCCGGGGACGGTTGAGGTCTTCGGGGGGCGGCGTTGCAAAAAGATCACGACCTCGGGGGTCTGGGAGAAAGGGGAGTCAAGCCCTCGAGGACCGACGTTCGAGCATCGAGGTCGTTTTTTTTTTTTTTTTTTTTTTTTTTGGTTTTTTGTTGTTGTTGTTGTTGCTGCAATTTCTCGACTTTTCGAGGCCCCTGGAACCACAGCATCATCAACGAAAACTGACACCAACGCCGACGACCCTGGGAGCCCAGCAGCCCATTCCCTGGAGAGGCGCCCAGAACAGCAGCCCGACGGGCCAACTGGGGCGCCGCGCGGCCCCAGGACCACCGGGACAGCCAGCTCTTTGGAGAAGCCGCCTAAGTCCTGGGGGTACAGCCACGCGTCTGCGTCGTCGAAGGGCACCGCGATCATGGTCGAGACTCGCACCTTCTCGTTCGTCCTGGCGGCCTTCTCACGGTTCATGCACCACATCAGCTCCAGGGCCTCGGGGCCGACGTCGAATCCAATCTCCACGGCCATGCTGTGGGCCATCTCCGCCTTTGCCAGCTCATCCTCGTGGGCGGCGACCTTCTTTGTCAGGTCCAGGCAGCGCTTGCACGCCTCGACCACGGGTTCCCGCTGCTTCTTCTCTCGCTGGACGTCCTGATTGCTCAACACGGTGGCGACTTCCTCTTCGCTGGTGGTGGGGGCATGTCTGGTCTCGGTCTCCATGCCCACGCCACCATCTTTTTTCCCAGGCGGCGCCCTGGGTGCCACACTTAGCACCGCGCCGCCGCTCCCGCTGCCGCTGCTTAGCCTCTATCCCATTCTTGGGCAACGCCTTAACTCGCTCCCCGAAGAGGCCGTGCTCCGCGACGCTCCGCTGCGCCTGGACCCCGCCGCCGATGACGATCGGCGAGTCGTCGACCGCCGCCTCGACCTTTGCGCGAAGGACGGCTTGACCATCTCCACGCGCGCCTGGACCTCTTCGTCCACCGCCTTCTCCTCCACCTGCGTGCTGCAAGCCTCGGCGCGTGCCGCCTGTCAGAGGACCACCGCCGTGGCCGCTACCACCTGGCGAGAGCCGCACAACCGCGCCGAGGAGTGCCGCCGCCGTCGCATCGGTCATGACCGCTGCCAGCTAGAGCCAAGGGCGAGCAAGCTCTTGAGCCACAATGGCTACGGAAGGAGGGGAAGGAGGAGGGATGATGATGATGATGATGATGATGATGATGATGATGATGATGATGATGAGGATGATGATGATGATGATGATGATGAGGAGGATGAGGATGAGGATGAGGATGAGGATGATGCTGATGATGATGATGCTGATGCTGATGATGATGATGATGATGATGATGATGATGATGATGATGATGATGATGATGATAATGAGGAGGAGGAAGAGGAGGCGGAGGAGGAGGAGGCAGAGGAGGAGGAGAAGAAGGAGGAGGAGGACGAGGAGCGGAGGAGTGTCCCCGTCCTCCGTGTAGTATGGTCGTGTTGTTAGCGTATGGTCCTCCGCCGACCACTTTCTGGAAAAGTTGTGCACCTGCGTGTGCAGCCCTCGGCGCCAGCTGCGTGCGCCCGCGGTGCGGGGTTTCGCGGCAAAGTGGTTGCTTTCGGAGCGCGGCGTATCAGGAGGTAGGGGGGGAGGGAAGAGCGAGCAGGTGGATGCGGGAGGATGCGGAGGCGGAGAAGGAGGGATCAGGACAGAGGAGGAGGGAGGAGAAGGAAGGAGGAGGGAGGACAGGAGGACGAGAGAGGAGAGGAGGACGAGGAGGAGGAGGAGGAGGAGGAGGAGGAGGAGGAGGAGGAGGAGGAGGAGGAGGAGGAGGAGACGACCTTCCGCCTCCGCCGCCCGCCGCCCCTCTGCGGCCAGCCGCTGCTCGTACAGCGCCCCCGCCCGCCAAGCGGTGAGAGCCTTGTGCGGATCAACGCGCGGGGGAGGGACGGGCTCAGGTCAGGGGGGCGTAAGACCCGGGTACAGGGGACTCGGAAATCCCCGACGAGGTCGTCAAAAAAATGACGAGGCCGAGCCTGCATTTTGACGAGGCCTCCCGCTGCAGACATCTCACAAAACTCCTCCTCGTCAAAATCCGAGTCGCGGTCGTCAAAAAACGATGGCGAACCCGAGTCCTGGCAAACCCGGGTCTTACGCTCCCCCGATCAGGGGGAGAAGCACCGAGCCGGCCGCGCCCATTGTGTAGCGTTGCCCAACTTGCGGCAGTCACACGACCGTGCTGGCGGGCATGCTGCGTGGCCCCCCTCTCGGGAGCCCTCGGAAGCCCAAGGGGGCTGATGCGAGCCCGTGGTGGCCCTGTGACCCCACGGGGCAGTGCGACCCCGCTTGAATCGGCCACACGTCGCCGATAGATCGGTGATATGCTCCCGGTAGCGAGTTGGCAGAGTCCTGGGCGGTGGCGGGCTATCGGGCCCCCATCGGCGATGAATGAGCGACTGGGGTTTGACGCGCCTCCCCGTGAGACTATCTTAGGGATCCCAAAACCGTGTGGTGACAGACCGTGCGGTGACCTCGGAAACCCAAGAGACCTCACCGCAGGGTCCGTCACCGCACGGTCTTGGGACCCTGGAGGCCCCTGTCGCCTGAGACATCCTCGGAGAGGGACTCGAGTCCCAAAACCGTGCGGTGACCCCGAATCCCCACCGACTCACCACACGGTGTGGTCACCACCCCGTTTGGGGCCCCTCCCCCCCTTACGTTGCCCCTGAGCCTTAAGCAGCAGCCTCCCAGCCGCTGCGCCAGGCTCCCGTGCGGCACCCCGCCGCGCCTCGAGAGCCGCGGGCGCCGCGATGCCCTCCGCCTTTGGATGCACCGTGGCGACGAGGAGGACGAGAACGGCGAGGATGACGACGAGGAGAACGACGACAACGACGACGACGAGATTGAGGACGAGGACGACGAAGAGGGGGGAGAGGACGAGGACGACGAGGACGACGAGGTTGAGGAGGACGACGACGACGAGGTCGAGGACGACGAGGACGAGTACGACGAGGAGAAGGACGACGACGACGACGACGACAACGGCGACGAGGCGCCGCGACGCCCTCCGCCTCTGGCGACGGGGCGAACGGCGGCGGCCCCGTGGCTCCTCCTGGGCTCTGGCCCGCTGGGGCCGGCGAGACGCGCCAGTCGACGGCGCGGCGGCGGGCGACCGCGGCCGCCTGGCGCTCTCCCGCAGCTCTCGCCCCAGAGGAGGAGGAGGAGGAGGAGGAGGAGGAGGAGGAGGAGGAGGAGGAGGAGGATGAGGAGGAGATGGAGGAGAGGAGGAGGAAGGAGGAGGAGGAGGAGGAGGAGGAGGAGGATGAGGAGGAGGAGGAGGCAGGAGGGAGGAGATGGAGGAGATGGAGGAGGAGGAGGAGGTAGGAGGATGAGGAGAGGAGGAGGAGGAGGAGGTTGGAGGAGAAGGAGGAGGAGGAGGAGGAGGAGGAGGAGGAGGAGGAGGAGGAGGAGGAGGAGGAGGAAGGAGTCCATCGCTCCGTGTTTGGTTATTTTCGGCCTCCAGTGGCCGTCGCCAAGCCTCGGAACCGTCAACACAACGATTCGGAACGAAGAGCCGGCCCTAGGGACGGGGTCCATACCTCGGGTGCCCACGCACCAGAAACATTGGTGCGGCTGGACGTCTGGGACCCCTCTCGCCCCCCAGCCCCTCGAGTCATTGCAAAAATCACGACGCGAGGTTTTTCACAGTGTTCGACCTCTGGGGTCCCCTGTCAGGCCTCGGGGCCGTCATAAGAGGACTCGGGAGGAGGAATCGGTCTTGGGGAATGGGTCGAGACCTCTGGGGGGTCGACGTCATGACAAATCCCACCAGCCCTTTAGGGCTACGGTGGTATAACGAGTTTGTTCTTCTCTCTTCCCCCTCCTTCCCCTGCTCGGGGGAGGGGTTTATCACTGTTCCCTATTAATAAACACCCCCTCCCCCAGGCGACTGGGGGCCAACCCAGGTCCATGACGACATCCCCTCACAATCCCTTGTATTATCCCGGCAAAGCAACCTGACAGCGATGTGTAGGAGCATATCTGGAAGCACTCCCCTTAAGATTCAGATGAGAATCCAGTTGTAGAATTCTGCTGTTCTCGCAGTCGTAGTCGCATTCGCGATGACAGTCGCAGTGGCAACGGCAGTCGCAGTCACAGCCTCAGCCACAGCCTGGCTCAGCCTCAGCCTGCCTCAGCCTCAGCCTGCTTCAGCCTCAGCCTCAGCCTGCTTCAACCTCAGCATCAGTCTGCCGTCAGCCTCGGCCTCAGCATCAGCCTGCCTCAGTCTCACCCTGCATCAGCCTCAGTCTCAGCCTCAGCCTGCCTCAGCATCGGCCTGCCTCAGCATCAGCCTCAGCCTGCCTCTGCCTCAGCCTCAGCCTGCTTCAGCCTCAGCCTCAGTCTGCCGTCGGCCTCAGCCTCAGCCTCAGCCTGCCTCAGCCTCAGCCTCAGCCTCGGCATCAGCCTCAGCCTCAGCCTCAGCCTGTCTCAGCATCAGCCTGCCTCAGCCTCAGCCTCAGCCGCCTGCCTCAGCCTCAGCCTCAGCCTGCCTCAGCCTCAGCCTCAGCCTGCTTCAGCCTCAGCATCAGTCTGCCTTCAGCCTCGGCCTCAGCCTCCGCCTGCCTCAGCCTCAGGCTGCATGAGCCTCAGCCTCATTCTCAGCATCAGCCTGCCTCAGCCTCAGCCTCAGCCTGCCTCAGCCTCAGCCTCAGCCTGCTTCAGCCTCAGCCTCAGTCTGCCTTCAGCCTCGGCCTCAGCCTCAGCCTGCCTCAGCCTCAGCCTGCCGCATCAGCATCCGCCTGCCTCGGGCCTAAGCCTCAGCCTGCTTCACCTCAGCGCCTCAGCATCAATCTGCTTCAGCCTCGGCTCAGCCTCAGCTGCCTTCAGCCCCGGCCTGCATCAGCCTCAGCCTCAGCCTGTCTCCGCATCAGCCCATCAGTCTGCCTGAGCCTCAGGCCTCAGCCTGCCTCAGCCTCAGCCTCAGTCTGCCGTCGGCTCGCCCCTTTTCAAAGCCTCAGTCTGCCTTTCAGCCTCGGCCTCGGCCTCAGCCCGCCTCAGGCCTCAGCCTCGGCATCAGCCTCAGCCTCAGCCTCAGCCTGCCTCAGCATTTCAGCTGCCTCAGCCTCAGCCTCAGCCTCAGCCTGCCTCAGCCTCAGCCTCAGCCTGCTTCAGCCTCAGCCTCAGTCTGCCTGCAGCCTCGGCCTCAGCCTCAGCCTGCCTCAGCCTCAGCCTGCTTCAGCCTCAGCCTCGGCCTCAGCCTGCCTCAGCCTCAGCCTCAGCCTCAGCCTGCCTCAGCCTCAGCCTCAGCCTGCTTCAGCCTCAGCCTCAGTCTGCCTTCAGCCGCGGCCTCCGCCTCCGGCTGCCTCAGCCTCCGCCTGCCTCAGCCTCAGCCTCGGCCTCAGCCTGTTCAGCATCAGCCTGCCTCAGCCTCAGCCTCAGCCTGCCTCAGCCTCAGCCTCCGCCTGCTTCAGCCTCAGCATCAGTCTACCTTCAGCCTCGGCCTCAGCCTCCGCCTGCCTCAGCCTCAGCCGGCATGAGCCTCAGCCTCAGCCTCAGCCTGCCTCAGCCTGCCTCAGCCTCAGCCTGCCTCAGCCTCAGCCTCAGCCTGCCTCAGCCTCAGCCTCAGCCTGCTTCAGCCTCAGCCTCAGTCTGCCTTCAGCCTCGGCCTCAGCTTCAGGCTGCCTCAGCCTCAGCCTGCATCAGCCTCAGCCTCAGCCTCAGCCTGCCTCAGCATCAGCCTGCCT